AACTTTGGCAGTAGCACCCATATCTTTTTGATGTTTCGTCTGAGCTGTACCACAACAGGGTCGAGAAAGAAAAAAGTTGGAGAGAAATTGCTAATTCCCTTCAACAGTCAGGTGAGCAAAAAGCGTTATTGATTGATTTTTTTTAATTATTCCAGTACTTTATTATATTGTTGTTGATAACCAAAGATATATTACGTGATGCCCTTTACAAAAATGTATATACATATTCTGGAGGGTTAAATAATTTTCTTTCTGTCTTCTTTCTTTGTTTATTCATTCATTCATTCATGAAAAAAACACTATAGTAATTTATAGTAAATACTATAGTGTTTCTGAACCATACTATAGTATAGTATTTGAATTAATTTGTTTTGGTAATTCAATAGTTGCTGTGGTAATATAACTATAGTAATATAAACAAATTACTTTACCCAATACTGTAAGTTTTTTACAACTATAGGGTATGTTGTACTACAATCCACTACAGTTAACTGTAGTAAAAACTAGTATACTACAGTATTTATTACAGTTTATCAGTTCACTATACAGTATGCTGTAGCATTCATTAGCAAAGTGTTGTAAATACTATAATATATACAGTATAATACACTTTACTATAGTATGGTTCAAAAACACTATAGTATTTACTATAAATTACTATAGTATTTTCTCATGTGGGTTCATTTATTTATTTATGTATGTATGTATTTATTTATTTCAGTTGAGGAGGTGAAGACCAGGGCTTTATCCCTGAGAACACAGTTCTCAAGGTTAATTAAACCAAAACCTGGGAGTGCCAACAAACCCCTGACACCTAGGCAGAGGTGGCTCCTCAGGATCATGGATTTTATAAAGAAACATATTGTTCACCGTCCATGTAAGACCACGTGAGCGAAGTGATGAAAGGAATAAAGTGCGTTAACGGAGTAAACGCCGTGTTTATTTGATTTAACATGGTAGCAGAGGATGGTTGAAAGATAGCAGCTAGTTATAAAGTTCCGCCAAAATTTGATGAAACCAGGCCATACGAGTGTTGGAAAAATGAAGTTAATATCTGGACGCGGGTTACCGAACTCGACAAAAAGAAAAAAGCCCTCGCTGTTGCCTTGGGGCTTGAGGGGAGAGCCCGTGAAACGGCGATGGAAATACCTGCGGAGGATTTAGACAGTGATAATGGTATGGCAACGCTGATGGCTAAGCTGGACGATGTGTTCCTAAAAGAGGAAAAGGATCGCGCATATGAAGCGTATTCTTATTTTGATGGAATAACAACGAATAGTTCAGTTTCCATGGCGGACTACATAATTGATTTCAAACAGCGATACAATCGGATGAAAAAGTATAATATGACGCTTCCTGACGCTGTGCTGGCTTTTAAGCTATTGGACACGGCCTGCCTCGACGAAAAAAACAGACAGCTAGCACTGACGGCCTGCACAGAGTTGAAGTTTTCATCCATGAAGTCGGCTCTAAAACTGATTTTTGTAGGAAAAACGACAGGCTCGTCAAACGGAATACAAGTGAACCAGGACGTGGCATTTTTTACCGAACAAAGACCACAAGGAAGAGGAAAACGGAACGGAACATTGCACAGTGGACAACCAAAGCAGCCATTACCAGGGACTAATCCACTGGATAAATACGGTAAGAGATCCAGATGTGCTATTTGCCAGTGCACATTTCATTGGGCTAAAGACTGTCCACACAAGAAAACCGAACAAGTAAGAATAACTGAAGATGCAAATATTGAGGAATGTAACATCACATTGTTTACAAAGGCCTCCATGTCAGATGCAGAGATATTCATGACTGAATCATTAGGATCAGCGATTATTGACACTGCATGTACCCATAACTGTGTGGAGAGAAATGGCTGGAAAACTATATTGATGACCTCACTCAAGATCAAGTGAACCAGTTGATGCAAAAAAAGTTGAACTCGCAGTTGCAGACCATTTCGCTTCGGAGATGGGAATTTGGTATATTCCACAAGAAATGTGAAATTACCAGCTAAAATAGGACTGACAAAATGCTTAATTGAAACAGAAGTTGTCAAGGTTGACATTCCACTCCTGCTGAGTAAAACGTCACTGAAGAAAGCAGGGACCATTTTGGACATGGAAAAGGACAGTGCAGTGATGTTCAAACAATCTATTCCTCTTGAATTTACTAGTTCTGGACATTATTGTGTCGATATCAGAGACAAAGACACTAAAAAAGATCAAACTGAAGAGGAAGTTCTAACAGTGACAGAAAATATGTCTCCAGATGAGAAACGCAAAGTCCTTCTGAAGCTCCATAAACAATTTGGTCATGCGTCGGCAGACAGGCTACAGAGGCGCATTCACAGTTCAGGAAATAAGGAAAAAGAATGTTTTACTATTCTACAACAAATAGTATATGACTGTGAAATATGCCAAAAGTACAAAAGGACAAAGCCAAAGCCTGCTGTGGGGTTGCCCATGGCTTCAGAATATAACGAGACAGTGGCAGTGGATCTACATGAGTTAGAACCAGGTGTATGGTATCTTCACATCATCGACCACTTTACACGTTTCAGCGCCGGAAACATTGTGAAAACAAAGAAGTCATCTGAAATTGTCAACTCCTTCATTCACACTTGGATAAGTGTCCATGGTGCCCCCCAGAAGCTGTACAGTGATAATGGAGGGGAATTCAACAACCAAGAAATCAGAGACATGGCTGAAAACTTTAACATCGAGACAAGAACAACAGCTGGATACAGTCCCTGGAGCAACGGACTACTCGAGAGACATAACCAAACACTCACCGAGATCATCCTGAAGGTCAAACGAGAAAATGGATGTGACTGGCACACTGCCCTTGACTGGGCCCTCATGGCTAAGAACAGTATGTTGAATGTTCATGGCTACAGTCCATACCAATTAGTGTTTGGACAGAATCCTAACCTTCCTTCTGTATTAGTTGATAAATCGCCTGCTCTAGAAGGTACCACTGTGAGTGCTAAAATGGGAGAACACATTTCTGCTTTACATGCTTCTAGGAAAGCATTTACAGAAGCAGAGTCTTCTGAGCGAATAAGAAGGGCACTACGTAGGCAGCTTAGGCCCACAGATGACATGTATGTGACAGGAGACAAGGTATATTACAAAAGAGCAGACTGTCCTGAATGGAAGGGACTGGGGTAGTTATTGGTCAAGATGGAGCTGTTATATTTGTAAGACATGGGGGGACTCTTGTTAGAGTTTTTTTATTTATATTTTCTTTGTTTACAGTATAGGGAGATTGTTAACATGCTATTTCCTCCCTACTCTGTTCACATGGAAGAAGTTTCTTCCGGGTTAAAAATGAGGTTAGCGCATGCGCTGGTTCAAAGGTGAACGCGTGGGTAAAAAGGGGGCGTTGTTGTAGAGGAACGGTGTTGAACTGTGTTGCATATGTGAGCGAGGAGGAGATGAAAGTAATAAAGTGCGTAACTGATAAACGTTGTGTTTATTTGATTTAACATGGTAGCAGAGGATGGTTGAAGGATGGCAGCTAGTTATAAAGTTCCACCGAAATTTGATGAAACCAGGCCATACGAGTGTTGGAAAAATGAAGTTAATATCTGGACGCGAGTTACCGAACTTGACAAAAAGAAACAAGCCCTCGCTGTTGCCTTGGGGCTTGAGGGGAGAGCCCGTGAAACGGCGATGGAAATACCTGCGGAGGATTTAGACAGTGATAATGGTAAGGCAACGCTGATGGTAAAGTGCGTTAACTGAGTAAACGTCGTGTTTATTTGATTTAACAGAGCTGCAGAAGCTAGCTGTGTTGAAGCAAATGGCAGCAAAAGTTGAGGCCGACCCAACACCTGATGCTTTCACTACATTTGGAAACCAGGTAGCATCTGAATTAAGACTACTTCAAGATGCAGCTAATGTAACCAGACTGAAAAGGAACATTATGAACATGATATATGATGCTCAAGATGCTGAAAGAAATATATCGTCTTCCTCACATTCACCATCAGCACCATACACATTCCATCCTATTGTTACACCTTTGCCACTGGTACAGTCCTACCCACAACATATGCCACCTCAGGGTTCTCGACCTCAAGGCTTTTTGCAAAAATTGCCAGACTACGATGTCAGTGAAAGTTTCTGAAAAGCTGTTATTTTGATTTACTTGTTTTTATTCAGATTGTTTTACTTTTCCTTTATAGTAAAAGTGTTACTCTGCTGCTGCTTTGTGTGAACACATTTCTATTTTACTGTTTACTAACATTACGGTTAGTAATGTTACTGTTGCAGTGTTAAAAAAATGTTGTAAGTTATGAAGTCATTCTTTCAGGACTTTACTGTAAACCATAGTACGTTTATGGTATGCACTTTATAAATAAATGTTTGACAAAGTAAAAAAAAAAAAAGTCTTGAGTTTTACATGCTATTTTAAACAATGATTTTAAAGTACACCCAAGTTGTATGGTCTGAAGATACAGTATATAAATATCATTCTGTGCCTAAAAGGCTAACATCAATAACAGAACCACCATGCTTTTTAAGAAAGGCACTTTTCTTCTTCTTCAAAATAAAAAAATGACAATGTGCTACAGTATGAAATATCATAATAAAAAACACTGTTTTCTCCACTACAAAAAGTTATACTCTAAACTAAATGTGTTTCTCCTGCCAAGGAACACATCTGACAGGTGTGACGAAGTAGTCACGCAGAAGGTTTCGTTGCATTTTTGCCACAACAGATGCATTGCGTTCCCTTCAATGATCCACTGTTTGGAAAGACCCGATCCCTTGATTCTTCCAGGTTCCCTCAACTATGCTGTGGTCATTGTTCTCCCAGTCTGCAAAGGCTGGAGGGGTGTATGTCTCAGACCTGCGCTCATGAAGGAAGTTATGGATGCATAGGGAGGCCATAGTTATTTTGACTACCTTCTCTGGCTCCAAGCATATGGTGCTCCTAAAAACTCTCAACCTGTTGGCAAGAATGCTGAATGCATTCTCTACCACTCGCCGCGCTCTTGACAAATGGTAGTTTAGTACCCGTTGACTGGGTAGGTTTCCATCCACCACCTCAACATCTAGGCTCCTGGGCAGCACATCCCATCCAGTCCAGAATTTTATTAGAAAACGCAAGATATTATAAGAAGCTGCATTAAAAAAAAAAGTGCACCTCAGGAAACAAAATAATTTTAAAAATCCAGATCATGATCATCCCCTTTTTATTTTTTAATTGTAGAATCTAAAGCAAAAAGTCAGTTAATTACTCATATACCTACAATTTCCGATGAAGGTGCGAAGGAATCCGGTGAGCCTACATGTGTCTTCAAGAGAGGCCTCACTGTCTTCATCATGTGTTGGCCAAATTATCCTCTCTAAATTCATCTGACACATTGACAACATTATCATTACTAAAGAATTGTAGAGCTCAATATTACATAAATGGTCCATATCTTACTAGTGGGGTGTACACTGTATCACAAGTCCTAGGAAAGAGAAGAGGAATAGTGTCTTTCCTCTCAGACACCAAAGGCCAGATCAATGTTTTTCTTCAAACCCCGCCGTAGCTGCTTTACTTGCTTGGAGGTTCTTTCAAGGACCTTCAAAGTTTAATTTGGAATGGAAACATGCATTACATTTTTTAACTTTAAAGGGCTAGTTCACCCAAAAATGAGTAGCTTTTTGTCTCATCTGAAAGTGTTAATTATGCAGGCCTCACTGAGTCATTGGATTTTATCAAAAATATCTTCATTGTGTTTCAGAAGATGAACAGAGGTCTTACGGGTGTGGAACAACATGAGGGTGAGTAATTAATGACAGAATTTGGGTGAACTAACCCTTTAAGAGTATTCCAAACAATAATGCATACTCACTGCATGAATGAGCAGTTTGTCAAGCAGCCATCTTCTGTTCTCTGATGTCACACCAGGCAAATCCCAGGACACTGCAAGGTCTGTAATAGCCCTCTTTTCCTACTTAAAAGTCAATATTGCATTGACAATGCAAGAGGTTAGCACTCTGTAAAGTCTCCAGCACATCCAAAAGACTTTCACTGAGGTTAATGTCAGGACTCATGTGCCAATTCATGCGTGAAAATGATTCCTAATGGTCCATTCCAACCATTCTTTCACAACTTGAGCCTAATCAATCTTGACACTGTCATCTTGGTATATGGCCATGATGAGTCTTCCTACATGGTTGTTTAAGAAATGAAAAGCTACACACTTCATAAATTAGTGTTAGAAGAACGGATGGCAAACATAACATGATAGAAACATAATTATCGCTGCAATTATGATCCAGTCATAGTATCTGAAGTTGCCTATTAAAATCTAAATAGTGACTTTTATTTGGCCGTGCAGTGTATTTGTTTTTGTTTAAGTAATTTTTTTATTCCCAGCTAATATATTTAATGAAAATTAGTAAGAGTAAAGATTTACTAACCATCTCTATTACTTGACGGACATCAGTGTCCACACAGTCCAGTATATCTATGGTGGCTGTTTCAGGGGATCCACCAAAAAGCACGTGGATTATTGCTGGGCTTAAACCAGTTAAGCATGGACCACCATGCAGGAATGAGTGCCCGATCATACGGCCTGCCACCACAAAGAAGTCACTATCCAGAAAACTCTGTGATGTTGAGGGAATCAAGTGATCCTTTTCACCCTCAAAAAGAAGAGTTCCTCCTGGCACTTAAAAGAAATAGAGCCATGCAACATGTAACAATCCGGCATGCATTACAAAAGACAAATGCAGAAACCTTTTAAAATATCAACCCTAAGGCCAATGGCAAGTAATTAACTGTTAATGCCAACAAATTGCTGTAAACTTCTTTTAAAGTTATCCTAAGAAAACGGGAAAAAAAGAACATGTATGTATAGGTCACTAAGACAGCAGAAGTTATGCGTAAAGCTGCAGGATACTGCACGACTCAGAAAATTGAATAGAAAGTGTAAGAAAAGTAAACACACCAGTCATCGTTTTAGAAGTGATAAGGACAATAGTAACTGAATTGCAATACCATTTTTTCCTGACCTTTGTCAATTGCCAAGTTTAATAAAACTTGTCTTATTTCTTGCTTTTAGAACTTTGGCCAAAAAAAGCAAAAACACTACTGAACAATAACCACTAATTTCTATATTTTATTCAACATTTTCTTTTTGACAATTGTATGATTTAAGTACTACAAACACTTGTGCATTAAACGTTTAATTTGCAGGTAAGTAACAGAACTCATTTACAGAAGTTCATTCTTTATACCCTCATCAATCAGTTACCGTTTTTTTTTTAACCCAGTTGACAATTATGGGAAGAAGAACCGAAAAATACAGGGCCGCGTCTCCCAAAAGCGCCGTGGGCCTAGGGTAGGGAAACGCAACCCTGGATTGTTCCGATTTTCATAGAAGCCATTGGTGGTTAAGAAACGCAACCATTTCAGTTATTTAGAGTCAAGACTTTTTCCGTGATTACAGATTAGTTATTAGACTAGAAACCAACCATCCACTGGGTGTCTGACTCTGGGTGTCATCACCCTAGGCTCTGACGTCGACGGTTCCAGACTCGATGACGACGATGCTGTGGTGGGGATCACATAAGTAGCTTCAGCTTCGTGTTTTTATTTCTGGAAAATAGTTTAAATATTTCGACATTACTGCGAATAACGTTAGGTGAAAATAACTTACAACTCTCCAGCTGATCTGCCACATCCCGTAGCAAACTGGACAACGAATTACTACTTGCCGCCATTTTCTTTGAAAACTCTCATCTCTATCACTTAGCTGGCCTGAGATTCTACGCGTGAGCTCTCAACTAATGATGCACTGAAGCTACACAAGGACCGCCTTCCTAATTTCCATGTTACACACGGAAAAGTAAAAATAAATGAATCAATAAATAAATAAATCTAAAAATAAATACATGTGGGAATAAATCATTCAAAAAAAAAAAAGAATTAATAAATATATAAATAAATGTAAAAATACATGTAAAAATAATATAAAAATATAAAAATACATTAAAAAAGAATTAGTGAAAAAATAAAAGTAAAAAAAATGTATAAATGTATAAAAGCAGAAAATAATAAATTAAGGGGGAAAATAATAAAAAAATTAATTTGATTAAAAATGAATCATTTATTTTATCAAGTCGTTTATTCATTTATTTATTATCCTATTATCACATTTATTTATCTATTTATTCATTAATATATTTATTTATTCATTAATTCATTTTTAATTTCTGCAGGTTTGGTCCTCCATAGGAAACTGAGGAAACTGAACGTTTCGCCTGCACGAGAAATAAAATAACTATAAAATATACAGCAGTCCACACTTAAAATGAAGACTTGTTAAATCAAATATTACTCTGCCAGACCCACCTGTTGCCAAAAACCGTATGGTCACAGCTAGGCGCTCTTTTGGGGATATTGCCCGTCTCATCTGTGTGTGCTGCTTGGTTATGAGAGGTCCAACCATCCCCAGCAGGATGTCAAACTCCTTTGCTGTCATCCGAAGAAGCTTCCTGAATCCAGTCTTATCGTTTATCTATTTGTATGGTGAGCACAATAATATATTTCAATAGAGTTAATAGCTTTTTTTATTTGCAAAAAAATGTCTTAAATATATTTATATCAGAATAAATACACTTTACAATTACATTAAGAAAAACAAAGCAGAAATATTTGCTTGACCAGCCGCATCAGCAGCAGCACATAGCAAAATTATTCATTTACCTCCAACTATCTTTGCAGAACGCACAATCCTTGTTCCCTGCGTCTCCCCAACCATTTCCTCCTCCATAATCTTTTTTTTTTTTTTTGCCCTTTTGCTGCAAATCAGCGCACAGACCATTTGGATCGTGAAATTCTCACTTAAGTTCACAACTTGAATCTAGTGAGATACTCTGGGAATCCTGTCGAAAATCCTAATTGAACGCTTCCTATGGAGATGGAATTCGCCGTCTGATTAGTTCCTGAGTGAAGCGATAGCTGCTGAATAATGACTGAAGGGACCTTATGAAGGGAATTATGATTGGTGTCGTGATCCTATAGGTAGACGTGGATCAACTGAGTGTCAGCGGATGCGAGCTTGACTAACATGGCCTGCCAGAACTATCGCTACGCTCCATTTGGCTGCTTTTAGCCTTACCCCTAATTTACCCCTGATTTACACTGCACACATCTGCGGTGCGTTACGGCTCCGAAGAGGTTTTGTTACGTCCTCCACGTGGTGCCAACTCACACCAGAAGCGGATCAGAAGCACAGCGGTAGGATTCGCGAGACCACGTGATTTGCCTGTCAGATGTTGTTTGGTTGCTCATTGTCCTTCATATAACACCGTGTTTTTGTATTTCAAAAATGAACCGCTCGTCGTCTATTTCTGGCCTCCTGCCAAAGATATGTGAAATACGTTGATGGCTGCCTCCGTGGCATGCTCCGCAGTTGTTTTTATGTTTTGGTTAGTTTGTCCTGTCTTTAGTTATATCCCTGCAATCAGTTTCACCAGAGACGAATTGCTGGACATTCGGAAGTACACACCACCCGATATTTCACCGGTTTTCGATTATTCTGATGTTTTGCTGGACATTGTAGTCGGGGGAGCAGCGGCGCTGTTCAGATGCTTCAGGATGCGCAGACAGGGGAAGCGAGCCAGCGCGCTCGTGAAGCTCAGGCAGCGCGGATTCAGAACGCCGTTGCCTAGCATCCATCTGGCGAACCTCAGTCAACACATCAAATAAGTGTACTTCTTTAAAGAATAACAAAAGATTGTTTATCTTTAAAGACTGATTGATTCTCGTCAGTGTGTACATTCCTCCGCAAGCGCACGTGAGCTCCGCTTTACAGAAACTCGCTGATCAGATGACAGACACAAAACAACAACACCTGGACTCTGTTTTAATCATTCTCTGGGACTTTACTAAAGCCAATCTCTCCCATGAACTGCCAAAATACAGACAGCACATCACATGTCCCACCAGAGACCGCAATATATTGGATCACTATTACTTATCTGTGTTTTTTGTTCTGTAACTGTCATTCTGTTACAGTGTGGAAGCTTCTGTCACGAAAACAAATTCCTCGTATGTGTAAACATACCTGGCAATAAAGCTCATTCTGATTCTGATTCTGATACGATTGGGAGTCTGCACAAGGTGTTTATTTTGAAATTGACATTATTTTTTTACTTTTATTTTGTATTTGCTGTGCGGTTTGGACGCGGCATCCGTCAAAAATAAACTAGGTGCCTATCTTTAGCGAAGTGGCACGGAGAGCCGCTTCTGGGACGCTTTTGAAACGTGCCGCGGCGCGTCTGGTGTAAACACAAGCATTGACTAGAATGACCGTGATCAGTTCCGGTAGCCGTGTCGGAGCCGTAACGCGCCGCAAACGTATGTAAATCAGGGGAGTTGGTTCACCCTCCGCCTATGCCCTAGACCAGGGGTGTCCAACCCTGCTCCTGGAGAGCTACCATCCTGCAGATTTAAGCTCTTACCCCAATTAAACACACCTGAACCAGCTAATCAAGGTGTTCAGGGTTGCTTGATAATTACAGACAGGTGTGCTGGAGCAGGGTTGGAACTAAAGTCTGCAGGACGGTAGCTCTCTAGGAGCAGGGTTGGACACCTCTGCCCTAGACAGTCTTTTTTTCCCCTTTTCCCCAAAAAAGCTTATACTACTGTTTCAGCTATTAAAATAGTTCAGTTTTGTATGTAATGGAAAAGTGATTATATTTAGTTTAGTTTTTTTATAAAGTTAATTTAGAAAAACGTTTGGAGCATTTTTTGTTCGTTTAATGTTTTTTTTTTTTAAGTAGGAACAAGCGGCCAGCAACAGACAGTGAATTGATCATAGCCTATGTTTGATCCATTTAGCCTTCTCAAATCGGAGAGTGGAAGCTGAAGCACGCTCTGCAGGACATGGAGGCGCCAGCACGATCACTTGCATTCTTTTCTAACAGTGGAAACA